ACCACTGAGCAGCTTTTCAGTCGGCAGCTGTGACAGAAGAACAGCTAAACAACCTGGAATCAGCCAGAAATGAACCCAATACCATTCACCACAGTTTGGGAATTTAGTGTAAGGAGCTGGAGAACGAACTGCTGGCTGTGCAGCGAGTGGGCGGAGCTCGTTACTCTGACGTAGCAACAAGCTGCTCGTTAAGGAACTATAATTTGGTGAAGGAACCGCGAACATTAAAACATATTAAACGCGGCGTTCACGGCCCAGTTTATTAATTTATTACTTTATTTATTTAACTGTTGTATAAAAGCAATAGAACGCTCTCGTGTTCTATCTGAAAGCTTAGCCAATTCAGTTACATATTTGCTGAACACCACTTCCTAGGCATGTAACAGAGACTCAAATCCAGAGCACTGGTAGGTGAGTGCACTACCCAAGGACTTTTATTCCTACATGGCAGTGCCTGTTGGATGGGGATTGAACCTATAACCTTCTGCATGCGTGATAATTGCATTACCCACTGCACCATCCATGCTATCAACAACAGTCTCACTCAAATGCAACACCTACCTTTTGCCCAACATCAAGTCAACACTGTTTCAGTCAAAGCTTGCTATCTGGGACTGTTTTGCTGCTGCTGCCAACATCTTCTCAAACCCCAGACAAACAAATAGTGTGATACATATCGTGTATGATGAAAATATCTTCAAGTATTGCAGTGTTTTTGTCATATCCATCCACTCTTTAAGCGGAACTGCTCTGCACAAGATCTGCAGCTTCGGCCTCTTCACTCTGGATCCGCAGCTATCACTCAGATACGATCTCAGAGAACATGAGATGTAGATGGAGAGAGTGACTCGTCTCAGTGAAGTATGACACTGCTTTTAAGAGCAGAGATAAACCACAGCTAGCAGGGAACTTTCATCCTCTTACACTTTCACAAAGCGTAACACGGCTTTTACGAGACTGCACTGTCTGCTTTATTGGAAACAATGCACTTGTACATCCACTTACTGTCCCCTTTTGCGCTCCACCTGCCTTAAAGCTCCACTCTACAAGTGTACAATTACAGACTGCAGCCCATCTGTTGCTACACAGTTTACCAGCCCCCTTCTGCCCCTTTCGTCATCGGTCCGTTTCTGACTACAGGACCAGATATTGTCCAGATATTGCTGTGGTGGTGGACCATTCTCAGTGACATGGACATCGTGGTGGCACTGTTGTAATGGTACTCCTTCTCTATGATGTGAAATGAATGCCTGACTATGGACACAATGTCAACATATTCCCAAAACATGCAGATGTAACAAGTCCCAAGTTTTTGTGACTTATATAACCCAATCTGGGTGATGCATCGTTTGATGGGAATCGCCATCACCGTATGAATACAGGGATAACTGGACTCATACAGCTGTCTGAAAATGTCTGAAAACTAAACATAACTCATGAAAGAACACAGTTTGGTTTAACTAGCTCTCGACTGACCAGCGCAGCAGACAGCTAACATGTTAAGAGACTCTTTTAGAAATATTTACAGACCTTATTTTAAGAAAGAATATTAAAAGAGCAAAACAAAGCAAAGAATGTGTTACATGTGTTAGAGTATTAGATGAGTTGAATGTCCTTGTTAATGAGCCACTATACGTAGTATTGAAACCAATATATATATATATATATATGTGTGTGTGTGTAAGATGTTCCAAAATTACTAAAAATGTCTGGTTACATTACAAGCACAGTATTACGTACACACACACATATATATATATATATATATATATATATATATATATATATATATATATCGCTGTTGTTGGAAGAAAACCTTGTATCTCCAAAATAGTAACTTTACAGGAAAAGGAAAAAACCTACTTTACTTCCAATGTAACTCAATGGAACCAGACGTCTTTCCAAGTCATTTTGGCCATTTTTTTTGGTCTATTCTTCATGGAATTTACACACAATGTAAAGGGCAACAGGCATTTTCAGATTATATGAAAAACTGAAAAATGTATATATATAATTTATGTGTGGTTTATACTCAAAACATACATAAACGAATGAATGAATGAATAAATGAATGAAAATTTAAAAAAAAGGTTGAGAGTGGAGAATGTCCAGCCAAGAAAAGCTCTGTGGTCACAAACTGACCGCTGGTGAAGGGCTAGAGGAGGGCTAATACAAACTGTTCATCAACAGATGGGCTACAGTCTTCTGTACACCAGCGAGGAGGTGGAGATTCAACTAAAGTGGTGTATTTAATGTCTCTGTACAAAAAAAACCACAATCCCACACAAAGCACCATCAAATGCACAGACAGTGAAGAGGTGAGCAGTAGTTTGTTACGGGGTCCTGAGTGGCTGTCGGATACAGACTTGAAGAGCGTCTGCGGCATGTGTCACTGAAGCAATCTAACATGATGCGCCAGCTTGTACATCCACACAGCTTTAGCTTTCCCCAGTGGGGCACGCGAACGCGCCGGCTTTTGAAGAGCCCCTGCCTCCTGTATGCAGCTTAATTGATTTAGTTTCTCTAACATGTGTCCGGCCTCTGAGGCACGGTCATCCATCAAAGCAGCAGCGCTGGGCTGGGCAAAGCTGTCGCTCAGTGAGTCGTGAAGTGTCTGGCTGGGCTGCGGGTGGGGTGATCTGGTCAGCAGTAGGGATGGGCACTATTAGAGTAAGCAACTACCAGTTTGATTGGTAAAATGCAACTTGAAATTCACAAAGTGATTTTGCTTCACTTAAGATTACACAAAAATCTCATTCAGCCTAATGAGAAACTGTAGAACAGACTCAGTTTATATCACAATACCTACATTTAGAGTCGGTTATTCATTCAAGCAAATGTTCTGGGCTTAGGGTTAGTATATATATATATATATATTCCCCACAGAAATATGTGGGTTCATTAAAATAGTAGCTATAATTTTAAAATTTATTGAACATTACTGTGATACGTATTGTATATGCAAAATGCAAAAAAGGTGAAAATCATAATGTTTAATTGTGATTTGTGCCCTATCAGGGTAACCTATGGCACCATCACCTGTTTTCCCTGATGGAGCTCACCTGACCCCGCTAATGAGGGTGTGGTCATCAATCAGTGAGCTGAATTGGGCACAATTCGATTATTTAACACACAAATAGAGACCAATACAGCTTCAGTCTGGAGGAGGCGCCCCAAATCCTGCTGCAGTACTGAGGGGATCGCCCCGCCACCCCCGCAGCGCTCTTTCATCTCCAGATCGGAGCGGAGACCCCTCAAAGACCCTCACACTCTCTCTCTCTCTCTCTCTCTCTCTCTCTCTCTCTCTGTCTCTCTCTCTCCCGGAACGTCAACACACACAGACGAGCGGTTTCTGCACATCATTACCTCCCACACACAGTCACTTCACACCACTGTAGAACAGCAACGAGAGAGAGGCGCTAAAGAGAGAGAGAGAGAGCAAAAGGAGAAAGAGAGGGAGAGAGCAAGAGAGGGAAGAGAGAGAGAGAGAGAGAGAGAGAGAGAGAGATACAGAAAGATGCTAAGAGAGGGAGATGGGGAGAAGGAGAGAGAGAGAGCAAAAGAAGAGGGAGAGAGAGAGAAAGCAGAAGAGGAAAGGGAGAGTGACAAAGAGAGATGATAAGAGAGGGTGAAGAGAGAGAGAGAGCAAAAGAAGAGGGAGAGAGAGAGAAAGCAGAAGAGGAAAGGGAGAGTGACAAAGAGAGATGATAAGAGAGGGTGAAGAGAGAGAGAGAGAGAGCAAAAAGAGAAAGAGGGAGAGAGAGAGTAAGAAGGGAAAATGAAAGAAAGAGAGAGAAAGAGATAGAGAGAGAGGAAAAGAAGGGAGAGAGCAAGAGGGGTGAATGAAAGAAAGAGGGAAAGAGAGATAGACAGAAAACTAGAGGGGAAGAAAGAGACGCTAAGACGGAGAAAGAGAGAGAGGGAAAATGAAAGAAAGAGACAGAAAGGGCAGGGAGAGAGATAGAGAGAGAGAGAGAGAGAGCTAATTTGAATTTGAATTTGAGAGAGAGAGAGAGGGAAAAGAGACAGAGATACTAAGAGAGAGAGAGAGAGAGAGAGGGAAAAGAGACAGAGAGAGATGCTAAGAGAGAGAGAGAGAGACAGACAGAGAGAGGGTGAAGAGACAGAGCAAAAAGAGAAGGAAAGGGAGAGAGAGCAAGAGGGGAAACGATAGAGAGAGAAAGAGAGAGAGAGAGAGAGAGAGAGAGAGAGAGAGAGAGACAGAGAGAGAGACAGAGAGAGAGAGAGAGAGAGACAGAGAGAGAGACAGAAAGAGAGAGAGAGAGAGACAGAGAGACAGAGAGAGAGAGAGAGCTGACGTATCAGAGGCAGAGTGACTCCTGACTGTATGAGGATGTTTGATCTGTAATTACGAACAAACAAACATCTGCAGCTGCTGATCATCACAGTTTTGCAGCAGGAGCAGAACTGAACTGTGTCTCCTCTCAGAGGAGCAGCTCCGCAGAGTAAACGCTCACTTTGCCTCACGGAGGAGAAAACAGGTGTCACGCTGCACTCTGACTGAGGCACACGACGCTCTAAACTGTGAACCAGAATCTAAATATTCCTTTAGATCACGGTTTTTACATCATCATCAGGCAGCAGAGCGTGTGACCAGGATTTAAGGGGCAACTTCAACATTATAAAATCATGATGCAACAGATTAAAGGGGAATTCCACCAGTTTTCATGCATAATCAAAAGGGAAAGATGCTAAACAAATGTGAAATGCTTCGTTTTTGAGAAACTTGCCGAGTCAGAATTGTTCACAGCGGTGTTGATAGGAACCAGACGTCCAAAAAACATTTTTTTAATGACTTATTTTTTCACATTTATGACTATTTTACCATCATCAACTCTGAAGTCAACTCTAAATAAAACGGCTATATTTGTGTTGTAGTCATGCAGAAATGATGTCTACAGCATTATGCAGAAATTTAGAAAATTCTGTGGAGTTCCCCTTTGAGTTAAGAAGGGTGAAGGAAGAAATGTAAACCTGACCTCTGTAGCAAACTGTCAGCCAGAGCAGCTCAAGAAACTGCCCCCCAAACTCGCACACGTCCAAGCCCAGCATCTCGCCCCACAGGTCTTTACCGACGACCGATGGACCAAAATCAGCGTCCGGCACGGAAAAAAGTGACCACGCACAAAATAAACGGCTAAAAACCGTGGAGGACTCAGATCAGCATCCCTCAGAGCGGAGAGACAGAGGAGCCCCCCGGTTTGGGTGGGGAACAGAGAGAGAGAGAGAGAGTGTAAATGCAGACGAGACGCGTGTGTAATCCGTGCAGGACCGGCTCTCTCTCTCTCTCCCTCTCTTTCTCTCTCTCACTCTCTTTCTCTCTCTCCCCCTCTCTCTCTCTCTCTTTCTCCCTCTCTCTATGCTCTGCAGACACTATCGATTCAGCAGCATCACCACCACACACGCCTCGAGCAACCACATCACTCATTACACTGCGATGATCTCATCCTCTCTCTCTCCTTCTCTCTCCCTGCCTCTCTCTCCCTCACTCCCCCCTCTCCCTTTCTCCCTCTCTTTCACTCCGTCTTCCTCTAACTCCCCCTCACTCTCTCCCTCTCTCACTCCCTTTCTCTCTCTCCTTCTCTCACTCCTATTCTCCCTCTCTCTCCCCTTCTCTCTTCCTCTTACTCCACCTTTCTCTCTCCCTTACTCCCTCTCTTTCCCTCTCTCTCTCCCCGACATTCTTTATTCGCTCCTCCGCTCCGCCCTGCCTGCACATCTCTATTCTCCAGACACTCGTTACGCTGCTCCCTTTTTCTCTCCTTTATCACAATTTCCTTCTTTTCATCTCTCTCTCTCTCTCTCTCTTCAGCTTGCTTCATTGTCTCTTCTTTCTCTCTCTCTACTCGTCTCTCTTCATGTCCGCATTTTCCCCCTTTTTCTGTCTCTGCAGTTTTCTGTTTGGGTTCCTCTCTCTCTCTCTCTCTCTCTCTCTCTCTCTCTCCCCTCTATCATTTTAACATCTCTGGGTGTCCACAACTCTCTCCTTTCCCTTCGTCTCTCTCTCTCTCTCTCTTTACTCTAGTTCTCGTCTTTGTGTCTGCAGTTTCTTTTTGTTTTCTCTCTCTCACTCTCTGATCTCCCCCTTTCATTTGAATCACCTCTCTTCATCCTTACAACTTCTCTCTCTCCTCTTTCGCTCTATCACTTTTTTCATGTCTCCCTCATTCATTTTTATCACCTATTTGCATGTCTGATCCTTTTCCTTCTCTCTCTTCGTCTTTCTCTTCTCCCTGTCTGGATCTCCTTTTCATCTTAATACTTTTTTTTTGCATGTCTGTGACTTTCTTTCTCTTTTCTTTCTCTCTCTCTCTCTGTACTCATCTCTTTCTCCATGTCTGCGGTTTCCTCTTTGGAATCTCTCTCTCTCTCTCAACCTGGCTCTTTTATTTTTATTACGTCTGCAGCTCTGTCGTCCTTCTTTCTCACTCATCTTTCTATATATCTGGGGTCTCTCTCTCTCTTCTGTCTCTCTGGATCTCCCTCTTTCATTTTCAACACTTCTTTGCCTCTCTGTCCTTCTCTCCCTCTTCTTTCTCTTCCTCTGCAGTGTTCTCGTTTGGAGTCTCTCTCTTTCTTGCTGTCTCGGATCTCCCTCTTTTACCTCCTCTCTCTCTCTCTCTCTCTCTCTCTCTCTCTCTCGTAGTCTTCTTCTCTAGCGTCTGTGCTCCGCTCCCTCCATTTGTCATCCGTCACTCAGGGTTATCAGCCTGTCCTGACTACCGTGGTTGCCATGGAAATACCCATCCCTCCCAGCTATATGACTCTGTTAGAGCTGGACGATATGTGGTCTATACTGAAACAGCGGCAGGGTGTTTATCGCTGTTGTCGGAAGAAAATCTCGCATCTCCATTTTTGACGTTTTTCAGTTTTTGACTTAATTTGAAAAAGCCTGTTACCCTTTACATTGTGCGTAAATTTCATAATGAATGGACTAAAAGAAACGACCCAAAATGACTTGGAAAAAAGTCTGGTTCCATTGACTTACATTAAAAGTACAGTAGGTTTTTTCCCTCTCCTGTAAAGTTACCATTTTGGGGATACGAGGTTTTCTTCCGACAGCAGCGAAATATATTAAACAGAATGTTCTGAAAGACTCTCGCTTTCTTTTTGGTGAAGCGTTCTTTCAAAAGGTGAGTTTCAGATCGTCATGGTTTGTTACACTCTAAAAACAGAAGTGTTAAAGAACAACACCTTCTGTCTCTAACTAGACACGGCGGTGTGTTCAGCTGGAGGCGACACGTTCTGCGATACTTTTAACACAGAATGCGTTAAATCAGAAAACAATACGACACAACAACTGTTAAAACAGGTAACAAAAGTAAGCGTGTTGCTCATTTAACACAGGGCTCGTTCTCCTTTGGAGAGGGAATTGAGTTCTTTGAGTGTTCACGGTTCTATATAGAAACATTTTCTTTACTCAAGAACCCGTGAAGAACCATCTTTTTAAAAGAAACTTTACACGGCGAGAACAAAACGATGTATTAAAAAATACAAGCTGCTAATCTGGTTCTTCAAGGGTTCTTTAGTAAAGAAAACTGTGCTATATACAAGCGTGAACACTCAAAGAACCCTCTGCATGATTAAAGGGTTCTTTGCATCCTGAAAGCGTTTTTCAGATGATGGAGAATGTGTTGTAGATGGTTCTATATAGAACGCTTTTTGAAAAGGGCTCTATATAGCACCAAAAAGGGCTCGGCTATTGTTACAAGCCAAAGAACTCCTTTTTTGGTACTATACAGAACCCTTTTTTGCTGAGAGTGTAGTTATCTAGTTGAGCAATTGAATGTGTTGCATGCAACTGTTCTTGCTTTGTGTAACTGCAGAGTTGCATAAACTTTTATGTTGCATGCAACTCACAACAGGCTTCACTGTGTAAAACCAGCCTAAGATGATCAGGCCAGACTCTGATGTTTACACCTCTGTGCTTCACAGAACCCTTAATGCAGCCTGGCTGGACTTTAGGTTCCTTCATAAATGACCACATGATAACGAACAAAATGATATTTGTTTCAGGGTAAAAAGTTGTGTATTTATTAAAAACGTGATATCTGACAATCAGGTTTTCCCCTCGTTTCTTAAGTGCTTGTACAAATTATTGACCAAATCTAAATTGCTGGAGTTTTTTGCACATTATTCTGTACTTGAAATTTGAAAACTGTGCAGCAGTACTGCATACCTAAGCAACAGAACCCGAGAGGGAGTGTGTTATTGCGAAATAACATCACAGCTGTGATTTTATTCCTGATAACACACTCCTCGAGTGTTCTGTTGCTTTTATACAACAGTTAAATAAATAAAGTAATAAATTAATAAACTGGTCCGTGAACGCAGCGTTTAATATGTTTTAATGTTCACAGTTTCTTCACCAAATTATAGTTCCTTAACAAGCAGCTTGTTGCTACGTCAGAGTAACGAGCTCCGCCCACTCGCTGCACAGCCAGCAGTTTGTTCTCCAGCTCCTTACACTAAATTCCCAAACTGTCATCACCACTGAGCAGCTTTTCAGTCGGCAGCTGAGACAGAAGAACAGCTAAACAACCTGGAATCAGCCAGAAATGAACCCAATACCATTCGCCAAACATGTAGTCTGATCTTCAGAGTCTGACCAAATCAGATTGAGCCATAAAACTGCCACAATATCAAGTTCAGCTCAGTTTTGTCAGTTTTTGCCAGATCAGTATTAATGTTGTTTTGTTCCAGCCAGTCTGTAAAGCATCTTTTCTGGCTGATTCCAGGTTGTTTAGCTGTTCTTCTGTCACAGCTGCCGACTGAAAAGCTGCTCAGTGGTGACGACAGTTTGGGAGTTTAGTGTCGTCTCATCTTCAGAGTCTGACCAAATCGGCTGTCGGTCAAATGTGATCTTAAAAGTGTCCATTTTCTGTTTGTGGCAAAGTAAGAAGTAAAAACGTTCAAATGGCTTGAGCGTCTCCTACAGCTGTCAAAGTACTATTGGTAAGCTCAGGCTGTACTAGTGGAACATATAGTGATAGATATAGATATGAATACACCTTTAAAATGTTCCTCAGGGCAAACATGCTCTGACATACTTGGCATTCACGGGCCTCAACTTTCACATTCCATCAGACCTGCACGTACCTGCACAGCAGCAGTTAAAATTTGGTGAACAATCACCTTTGCACACCCCCACCCCCACTCCCCCCATGCCTAACACAGTCGATCAGCCGAGACATGTTTGGGTTGCTGCCTTAGTTCTGCACTGGAGCTTGAGTAGCTAACAAGTACTAGAAGTTTATAGCCGCTAGGTTAGCATTGTGCAAACTGCCCTGTCATCACACGCTGCCTGAACTGGCCTGCATGAGTTATTACATAATCTTGAATAGACTTGGATTTCGGGAGTTAGCACAATGCTACTCTTGGGGGTTATAGGCTGCCTTTGCTTGTTAGCTACAGCCCAGATAGCAGACAGTTTCGGGCCGATTCTGGCTTGTGTTGGTTGACTGGAGGTAGATGTTGGGCATGCGGGCCAGAATAGGGTCAGATCCTGGGCAGCTTCATCCCATTTTGCCTCGTGTCTACATTTGTGGGACAATTCCGGCGTGAATGTTGTGGACCAACAATGTAGTTGGGTCCAGACTGGGGCCAGATTTGGGCCACATCCTTTAGTTCTTCTCACTTTACAGTGCGTGGACCAGATCTGGGCCGAGGACCCAGCCATATACTGGGCCAGAACAAACCAAGGATGTGGCCCACAAGTGGCCCAGACAAATTTTGCTAACTGGGAATTAGACAGTTTATAGCCGCTGGGTTAGCCTTGCGCAAACTGCCCTGCCATCACACAGTGCCTGAAACGGCCTGCGTGCTTTCAAACTGAGTTGTTAAGTAATCCTAAATAGACAGGGAGTTAGCACAATGCTCGTGTTGTGGGTTACGTGCTGCCTTCGCTTGTTAGCCTCGTTGCTCCGAAACCAAAGAAGCAAACTTCAGACACCAAACATATTTTGGAGGCAATGACTTAACAAGCATTATCGTGCCCAAATTCTTTAAATAAGTTAATATTTACATAACATTATTGCATTCCACACATATATCTTCAGTACATCAAAGTGAAATTCATTTTACAAAATCTAAAAATGTCAAGTGGTCCAACCATACCCAGTCAGCGAGCATATATCGGTCCACTGGCTTGATAAAGTCGGCACCCTACTGCTGGTCCACCCTCGGACCACCCAGATTACTGTCCTGCATACAAGCTCTAACTAGATTTTAATCTCATCAAACAGATTTTAAATGCACAGAAATGTTTATTTTAGAAAATAAACATAGACAAATATTATAAACAACTGAGAGAGAAAAAAATAATGA